TCAGAGCAGGTCGATCCCCTTGGATCGATCCTGTGGGTGGGTTGCCACCACCTCGTTGCTTCCGCTGCAACTTCTACTGCTACTCTCTGTGCCGCACGCCCCGTGGCGTGCGGCAGATTTTCTTCCCGCCGTGCGCCCCGAGGCGCGCGGCGGTTTTCTGCTCGTTGTGCGCCCCGAGGCGCGCGGCGGTTCTCTGCCCGCTGTGCGCCCCGAGGCGCGCGGCGGGCTTCTGCCTCGTCGCTCGGCGCGTCGCCCTTGGGAGGCGCTGCGACGGGCGACGGGGACCCGCGCGCCGGCCCGTCGACGCCCGTGCGCCGCTGCCCCGGCTCGTCGACGCCCGTGCGCCGCTGCCCCGGCCCTGTCGCCGCCCGTGCGCCGCTGCCCCGGCTCGTCGACGCCCGTGGGCCGCTGCCCCGGCTCGTCGACGCCCGTGCGCCGCTGCCCCGGCCCGTCGCCGCCCGTGCGCCGGCTGCCCCGGCCCCGCGCAGCTGCTCCGGCCCGTCGCCGCCAGTGCGCCGCCAGCCTCGGCCCGTCGCCGCCCGTGCGCCGCTGTCCCGTCCCCACACCGCCCGTGCGCCGCCAGTCCCGGCCCCGGCCCCGCCTGCGCCCCCCCCCCCCCCCCCCCCCCCCCTTTTCCCGTCGCTTGTCGAGGCGACCCTCGCGGGCCGCTTGCGGGAGGGGGGCGAGCGCCGCCCCCCCCCCCCCCCTTCTGCTGCCTGTCTTGGCGCCCTGGGCGGCCGCGCTTCGGTTCCCACCCCCCCCCCCCTCCCCCCCCCCCCTCCCCTCCCCCTCCCCCGTAACCTCCCTATCCGCCATCCCGCCCTGCCTGAGTTAGGGTTTGGGGAGTGGCGAGTAGGGGGTGGCGAGTATGGGGGTGGCGGGTGTGTGGTCTCCCCTGCTCTTCCTCCTCCTCTGTCTCCCACTGCTACAGCTGCCGCTGAGGGGGGTGGGTGTGTGGGAGTCGCTGGAGTCGTGCTAGGGGGTGGGGTGTGAGTGACCCTAGGGGTGCAGTAGGGGGTGTGTGCAAGGGGGGGTGAGACTGTTTGGGGAGCTGAATGAAGGATGCCGCTGTGTCGCTAGCAGCACCTGTAGTCCGGGGGCTTCGTCCGGTAGCTCAGTCGTAGCCAGCTGTGCCAGCCGCCCGTGGGTCCGTTGCTCGTCTGCCGCTACTTTAGCCGCGGGGCCAGTTACCCCTGTAGTCCGGGGGCTTCGTCCGGTAGCCGCTGTGCCAGTCTGCCTCCTGTTGCCCGTGTGTCTGCAGCTTCATCCGTCGCCTCCTATCTCCTTTCCTCTCACTCTCGCCTCCTCCTCCTCACTTGCCCTCTGCGATAGCCTCTAGCTTTGCTCATAATTCTTAACTTTAAACTATTGCTTCTTGAACTTGTGCTCAGAATGTGTGGTGACATTGTGATCCACCCTAAGCTTGTACTGCTTTGCCTGCTCTGCTGATTACACCCCACTTTGGCTATGGGGGTGTGTCAGAATGTTATCTTATGTTCTAGCCTGTAGTGGGGTGCTCTATAGCGAGTACAACCCTTCTAGGGTTTGCTATTTGTATCCTCATTCCTGCTAGTTCAACCATCTTCTTCCTTCTAATTTTGTCACCCTTGACGATGTGGGTGATGTAGGACGCCGTCGAGTATTCGGCGCCCGCCATTCGCATCTCAGCCAGGATCCGTCGAGCACGGTTGCAGTAATCCGTCGCCGACTCCAGCTCGCCCATCCGAATGTGAGTCATCTTCTCCTCTAGCTGTCCAATGTACAGGTCGTCCCTGACCTGGTACGTCGATATGATGAAGCGCCATGCCTGGTGACCAGCATCTAGTCGCTCTCGACAGCTCCTGAGCGCCAGCTGCACCACCGGCGAGCAGCACCTCGAGATGACCATGAAGGTGAGCAAGTGAGCAGAACGAAACTCCTCGCGCAGCCCGACATCTTCCTCGGGCGGAATTGGCACGGTGCCGTCGGCGAAGCCCTTCAGCCCGGCGACCTCCAGCTGAGGTTCGATCGACTCCCTCCAGGTGATGAGGTCCCGTCGACTTTGCATCGGAGCGACGGTGATTCGATCCGGCGAAAACTTGAAGTAGCCATACGCCAGTGCAATCCCGCCCGCCGTCACATGCGTCGTCGCCGAGAGCCCGCCACCACTTCGTAAAGGGGAGCGACGTCGAACATCGACGTCGGCGTGCGAGCTGCTTGCAGCCGTCGTCGACCGCTGCACTCGCGCCTGGATTCCGTCGACACCACCGTCGACCTTGATCACTCCTCTCTGCCTCGTGCCTTCGCTGCCGCTGACTCGTGCACCACCGTCGACCTCGTCATCGACGCCACCTTCGTTGTGCACCAGTTGAGGAGAAGCAGGACGGGAAGGGTGTTCCGTCGCTCACTGCGACCGGATGCCCAGCTCGACGATCACTAAGGGGATCGTCCCGTACTCACCATTTGCATGGCGTCTCCTCGCGCCAGCCAACCGTGCCTCCAAGGTGTCCGTTACACCCGCATCAGCTACGGGGTCGACCATGGCGACTATCGTTGCTGCCAGCCTACAAACGACTTAGTAGGTGCAAAAGTTGGCTCCTATCTGAAGGTCGCGTGTTCGTTCCACGCTCACCGCACCATGCGGAGATTAACTCTACAGCGGTAGTGAGACGGACTACAGGGTTGGCACGAACTACTAGAGGTGATCGTAGCTTTGCTTAGTTCCTTAGTGCTTGCACATTCACAGGAGAAATTGGCAAGAGTTTCCACTAGCAAAGTTGGGATCCAAGAATTATCCAAGAAGCAAAGACAACAATGACTACATCAAGCACCTAGCAACCCTGCAGCTAGCCTGGTCGACCGCCAGCGCAGCTCAGTCGACCGCCTGCCAGCATTGCGTAGAGGAGCCGCGCCAGCACTGCAGAAGGGCGACCTGCCAGCAAAGCAGGTCGACGGCGTGCCCCGTAGAACACAGCAGTGCGCGTGCTCGCAGGTGTGCGCAGACGATTGGCCCGACTTGCCTCGTTGGGCATCCGTCGGCTGTTGTCTGCGCCTGACGAGCCACATTGACTTTGCGATACCAGCCCGAAGTCGCCTGCGCCATCGCGATCTCGACGATGTTCGCGAGCCTCCGCAGAACTCGTCGAGCAGGTTACCCGGTCGACCTGGTCGACCCCTGGTACTCTGGTCGACCCCCAGGTGCCTCCGGTCGACCACTGGGTCCCTCTGGTCGACCACCAGGCGCTCCTGGTCGACCACAACTCCCGTCGAGCTACCCCCTGGTCGACGGACCCCTTCCGTCGACCAGAAATGCTCTGTCGACTTCGCGGTCGAACTGGAGGTCGACGGACTGCTTCGTCGACCTTCCTGACGGCCCACCCGTCGCACAGACCAGTCAGTTGCAGCTGTCGAGCTCCTTGGTCGACAGCAACACCACAGCGGTCCGTTGCAGCTCGACGTAACCTATCGAGCAGCTATCCCACTGTGAACAGTCGGCTGCTACTCCCGTGCATCCGACCAAGTCGTCGGCGTTGCCCAAGCGAGGGCGGGGCCAACACTCCATTCCTGTTAACATTCTGTGCACCAGTCGCTCACATCTTTCCCTCCTCTTTCCCACTATTTCATCCCCTCCCCTTTTTACTCTTCCTTTCCCTCCTTTTCACTCCCTTCCCTCCCCTTCTGGTTCACTGCTAAGCAGTGGTGAGATTAGTGGCAATATCAGTTCCATCTGGTGCGGGAATTAGGCTGCAGGGACAGGTACAGGCAGTATTTGCGGGGACTGGTGCAGGCGGTCACAACACGAGGTGTTCTAGGCACGACACGAGGAGTTAACTTATGTAGTGGAGAAATTGCTATGTTTAGGAGGTTTGAAGCAGGGCTGATCCAACAGCGTATTTGATCTGGTTACCATAATTCCTCGAATAAAAAACAGTCCCTGTCCCGGGCCTCACTAAAGTCTTTCATTAGAACAGGATGGCACAAACCAAGGGTTATGTTTGCGAAGCTTGTTCAGACAGTTGCAGTACTACTAGTAGTGTACTCAGAACCACTGAATGGTTAGCATGGAAGCTTCTAATAAGCCTGACAAGATCCATGGCTGGAGAGCTGGAGAACATGTTTGAGAACATATTGTGTGTCAGTCAGTATGTTATTGCTGTATTTAGTGATTTTTATGTTCTCTCTACTTGAAGCAACTTCTGCAAGCGAGCTGGCCAGTAAGCAAGATGCCAGTAACTAGGAAGATGTCGCAAATCTATCGCGACCTGCCTTTGTCGCCTGCCGAGTACCCACTGCATTTCGTCAAAACTGAAGTTGTCCCCTGATTGCATATCGCACTAGAAATCTCTGCGAACATCGCCGAGGGAGGGCTGATCGCAGGAAACGCGATCATGCGGGAGAAAAGGCCTGTGCGAGCGGCGAATTTGTTACAGCAGCGAAGCTTGCGGGCAGAGTCAGACTCGCAATAATTCAGCTGCTTGCGCTGTGATAGGCTGCGACGCTGTTACCTCAGTTATGTCAAGCTCTACCATCATTCATCAGCTGCCGCCGCGTTCCTCGCTTCATCGAGTCAGCGCCAACTTGTTTTTCAGCACATAGCCTCCGAACCAACAAGTCACAACTATGTGACCCATTCCAGCCACACGATCGCGTTCCTAGTACTAGCGCCTCCTGCGGGGACTGTCAACCTTGAGCGTTAGGCTCCCGGATTCATCTATAAACCACCCGCCAGAGCAGCCATGGCAACATCTCTTCCGCCGCATCTGTCGTGCTGTATGATAGCAACGTCAGCAGGCTACTTACCAACACATTTTAAGAAGTTCTTACTGTTATGTACCTGTATGCTACTATTATCTCGTGTTGTACCATCTCAACAATATTGTATCACGACCATCTTTTCCTAGCATTGCGCTATTCATTGCCCGTGCGTCACGCGGCGTGCGACAAGCGGTCGCGTCACCCAGAGCTTGTCGGTTGTCGACGAACGCGCGACACTCGTGACTCGGTTGTGGGTGCTACCCATCATGGCCTCCAATCCCGCCGCGCTTCTTCTGCTCCTCGTCCTTGCCGTCATCTGCGGTGAGCTTCGAGTCGCCATGTCCACTTCTCCTCTCCTGCTTCTTCCTCGTCCTTGCCGTTATCTGCGGAAAGCCATTCCATCCTTGTCTAACTTCGGCTCGATTCCGTTTTCTCTCATGTTGAGAGGCGCGAAAATCTGCCCCTCCTAGCACCCTTCCGCTCCCTCCCGCTCACCTCCCACCCTAAACCGCCCCTCTGCATCCAGCGATCGTCACGGCTCACACGGCGGCAGGCGAGCGCGCGGATCGCCTTACTACTAACGCGCGCGCGCGAGTGCGCGGCGTCGGCGGCGCAGCCGATGTTATGTCTGCCAGAAGCCTCAGAATCGAAAGCACAGTGGGAAGCAGAAACGGGAGCACGCGGGTGGGGGTGGGCGTGGGGATTGGCAGCGGCGGCGGGGCGGTGGAGGCGAGCGTGGCGGTGGGCACGCAGATCACGGTGTCGGGCGTCAGTCTCAACGTCAGCTTCGACTGCCCTCCGCTGCTTCAGCTTTCCCAAGGCCGCGCTCAGGGCTCTCAAGGCGGGGCGGGACGTGCAGGTGTGGTGGAACGGCCTTGCGGGCGGCAACAAAGGCCGCAGTAGCAAGGGCGGTAGCAAGGGCGGAGGGGGTTCGCGAGAGAAGGAGGCAGGCACGGATGGGCAGGCGGGGGCGGCGTGCAAGCAACTCAAGTTCTTTGCCAACCCCGCCTGCAAGGGCAAGGCGCTGGATGAGGTGCTCAAGCCGCAAAACGCCGGCCTCCGCAGATTCTTCAACGTGCCCAGGTGGGTCGTGGGGCCACGTGGATCGTTGGGGCACGTGGGTCATGGGGGCACGTGGGTCATGGGGGCACGTGGGTCATGGGGGCACGTGGGTCAGAGCCACGTGGATGGGCGCAGGTGGATGAGGGCAGGCGGGTGATGGCTGTTGGCTGGTGGGTGAATGGGGCTGGTGGGTGAATGGGGCTGGTGGGTGAATGGGGCTGGTGGGTGAATGGGGCTGGTGGGTGAATGGGGCTGGTGGGTGAATGGGGCTGGTGGGTGAATGGGGCTGGTGGGTGAATGGGGCTGGTGGGTGAATGGGGCTGGTGGGTGAATGGGGCTGGTGGGTGAATGGGGCTGGTGGGTGAATGGGGCTGGTGGGTGAATGGGGCTGGTGGGTGAATGGGGCTGGTGGGTGATTGGGGCTGGTGGGTGAATGGGGCTGGTGGGTGAATGGGGCTGGTGGGTGATTGGGGCTGGTGGGTGAATGGGGCTGGTGGGTGAATGGGGCTGGTGGGTGATTGGGGCTGGTGGGTGAATGGGGCTGGTGGGTGATTGGGGCTGGTGGGTGAATGGGGCTGGTGGGTGAATGGGGCTGGTGGGTGAATGGGGCTGGTGGGTGATTGGGGCTGGTGGGTGATTGGGGCTGGTGGGTGATTGGGGCTGGTGGGTGATTGGGGCTGGTGGGTGATTGGGGCTGGTGGGTGATTGGGGCTGGTGGGTGATTGGGGCTGGTGGGTGATTGGGGCTGGTGGGTGATTGAGGCTGGTGGGTGATTGGGGCTGGTGGGTGATTGGGGCTGGTGGGTGAGTGTTCTCTATCAATGCCACTGTCAAGCCTCGGGTTTTGCCAGCCCAACGTTTTTCTAACATCCTCTCTGATAGTGTTCCTAATGCCTGATCTAGACGTGTTTCGCAACGTCTGATCTGAATGTGCTCCTGACGTCCTTGCAGCACAAAGACGGTCTCTCGCTGGACATCTGTTTCCTGCAAGTCTGGTGCGTGCCACTGTGCCTCTTCGCCTCCTTAGTCTCCTTGTCACCTTGCCTCCTTGCCTCCTTGTCACCTTGCTTCCTTGCCTCCTTTTCCACCATCCCACCTTGCCACCTTGCCGCACACAGCATCTGCAAACGAGTGTTTTGCGTTAATAACTCCATGCCCATGGTTTTACCTTCCTCGCTGCACGCATCCCTGCTGCTGCTGCTCCCCATGACATGGCAGACATCACCTGCCAGCACGCCACGTGTCCGAGCAACTCCACGTGCATGCCAACGAGTGACAGCAAGGGCGTCACCTGTGCATGCAACCCGGGCTTTGCTGCAAGGAATGGCACTTGCCATGGTATGCTGCTAGAGATACATTGTCTCTCCTTTTGCCTTCTGAGTCGACTCAAAAGTCACCTGTGCATGCAATTTGGGCTTTGTTGCAAGGAATGGCACTTGCCAAGGTACTTTTGAGGCGCCTCAAAAGTGCAACCCGGGCTTTGCTGCGTTGAATGGCACCTGCCAATCCAAGGTACGCTGCTGAGATACCTCGTGTGGCAAAATGTGCACAAGAGTGTTGGAGACGAAGAACCTGTCTGAACCCGGAAGCGAACCGGAGACCTCCAGTTTGTGAGACTGGCGTGATAACCAACCATCCAGACACGTTGTGAGGGAAAGGGGGAAGAATAATAGGTGGGGGAATGAGGGAGGGAGGGAGGGAGGGAGGGAGGGAGGGAGGGAGGGAGGGAGGGAGGGAGGGAGGGAGGGAGGGAGGGAGGGAGGGAGGGAGGGAGGGAGGGAGGGAGGGAGGGAGGGAGGGAGGGAGGGAGGGAGGGAGGGAGGGAGGGAGGGAGGGAGGGAGGGAGGGAGGGAGGGAGGGAGGGAGGGAGGGAGGGAGGGAGGGAGGGAGGGAGGGAGGGAGGGAGGGAGGGAGGGAGGGAGGGAGGGAGGGAGGGAGGGAGGGAGGGAGGGAGGGAGGGAGGGAGGGAGGGAGGGAGGGAGGGAGGGAGGGAGGGAGGGAGGGAGGGAGGGAGGGAGGGAGGGAGGGAGGGAGGGAGGGAGGGAGGGAGGGAGGGAGGGAGGGAGGGAGGGAGGGAGGGAGGGAGGGAGGGAGGGAGGGAGGGAGGGAGGGAGGGAGGGAGGGAGGGAGGGAGGGAGGGTTTATAGGGTACGATATCTTATTATAGGTGGCCCATGGTTCTTTCGTTCCTTATTACCCAACTCCATTTGTGATATCTGTGTATAGGTCAACACACAGGCTTCTGACGCTCAGCATAATTCTCATCGTCTCATGTTGCAAATTTTTGTGGGTCCCTTGGTTGTGAAATCTCATCATCCTTCCCTTTTTTCCGTATCCTTTCCTTGCAGACACATGTGCTTCAGTGAAGTGTGGGCCTGGCGGCAACTGCACGAGAGATGCGAACGGAGATCCATCTTGTAGTTGCAACGCTGGCTTCACACCGTCTTCTGACAAGCTCTCTTGCATTGGTGAGTTGGAGGAGTGCAGGACAGGGAAAGAGGGTGCCTTGCATTTCAAACCTTGTCATATAAACCTTGCATATTTTCAGGTCATAGTTTCTCCGGAAGTTACTAAATGCCTTGGTATCCAGATCTATGGCCCTTGATTGTCAAGATTTGGTAATGACTGTCTTTTTTATATTACAATATCCTACCACCTGCCCGGGTTGCTTCTTTGCAGACAATTGTGATGCGGTGAAGTGTGGGCCTGGCGGCAACTGCGAGAGGGATGCAAACGGAGATCCATCCTGTAGTTGCAGCGCTGGCTTCACGTCGTCTTCTGACAAGCTCTCTTGCATTGGTGAGTTGGAGGAGTGCAACACAGAGGGCGTGCGTTGCGTTTCAAATCCAGTCCTTGAAACTTGGCCTTTCTAGAACTTGATTTTGTTGCGAATGTTATTGAATTGCGTGCATACTTGATGTTGTGACCCTTGATCCTTCCATTTTCATTGTCGTTTTCTTCTGCAGACAACTGTGATGCGGTGAAGTGTGGGCCTGGCGGCAACTGCACGAGGGATGCGAGCGGAGATCCATCCTGTATTTGCAGCGCTGGCTTTATGCCGTCTTCTGACAAGCTCTCTTGCATTGGTGAGTTGAAGAGTGTGCAACACAGGGGGCGTGCCTTGCGTCTCAAACAATGTTCTTGAATCTTGTCCCTCCCACAACTCAATTTCCTTGCAATTGATACCCATATGAGACATTTTTTAACTTGTGACCTTGTATTGTTAAGGTTCGAGTATTAAAATTTTTGCGATATCATAATATCCTTCCGTCTGCATTGTTTTTGTATTCTGCAGACAACTGTGATGGAGTGAAGTGTGGGCCTGGCGGCAACTGCACGAGGGATGCAGAAGGAAATCCATTCTGTAGTTGCAACACAGGCTTCAAGCAGTCTTCTGACAAGCTTTCTTGCATTGGTGAGTTTGAGAGTGTGCAACACAGAGGGCGTGTGATGTGTCGTCTTGCGTGTCAAAACCAGTCCTTGAAACTTGGCCTCCCTCAGCCCAAAATTTTTGCAAGAGTTACTGAATTGCGTGCATACTTGACTTTGTCGCTCGGTTGTCAAAATCAGGGTATTCGTTGCATCATGGTATTCGTCCATTTGCATGGGTCTCTTTTTCTGCAGACAACTGTGATGCGGTGAAATGTGGGCCTGGTGGCAACTGCACGAGGGATGAGAGCGGAAATCCATCATGTACTTGCAGCACGGGCTTCAAGCAGTCTTCGGACAAGCTGTCTTGCATTGGTGAGAAGTTCACAACAGGTGCAACACCATGGGCGTGCCTTACAGCTGTCTTACATTTGCAACAGTTCTCTAGACTTGATCTCCTGCCAGCTCAATTTTCTTGAATTAGTTACTGGATTTTGTACATACTTGACTATGTGACCCTTGATTGTCAAGATCTAGGTATAATAGTTTTCTGATATCAAGATGTCTTTCCACTTGCATGAGACTCTTTCTCTGCAGACAACTGTGATGCGGTGAAGTGTGGGCCTGGCGGCAACTGCACGAGGGATGCGAATGGAGATCCATCCTGTAGTTGCAGCGCTGGCTTCACGTCGTCTTCTGACAAGCTCTCTTGCATTGGTGAGTTGGAGGAGTGCAACACAGAGGGCGTGCGTTGCGTTTCAAATCCAGTCCTTGAAACTTGGCCTTTCTAGAACTTGATTTTGTTGCAAATGTTTTGAATTGCATGCATACTTGATGTTGTGACCCTTGATCCTTCCATTTTCATTGTCGTTTTCTTCTGCAGACAACTGTGATGCGGTGAAGTGTGGGCCTGGCGGCAACTGCACGAGGGATGCGAATGGAGATCCATCCTGTAGTTGCAGCGCTGGCTTTACGCCGTCTTCTGACAAGCTCTCTTGCATTGGTGAGTTGGAGGAGTGCAACACGGATGACGTAACTTTTGCGTATCAACCCCAATCCTTAAAACTTTCCTCGCTTCAGCTCATATTTTATGCAAGACTTTCTGAGTTGAAAGTGTATTCAACTCTTTGAACCTTGATTCTCAAGATCCAGGTATTATTGTTTTCTGATATCATGATCTCCTTCAACTTGCATTCATCTCTTTTTCTGCAGACAAATGTGATGCGGTGAAGTGTGGGCCTGGCGGCAATTGCACGAGGGATGCGAGCGGAGATCCATCCTGTACTTGCAGCACTGGCTTCACGCAATCTTCTGATAAGCTGTCGTGCATTGGTGAGTTGGAGAGGTACATCTAAGAGGTCATGCCTTGCTTTTGAACCCGGTCCTTCAAAGATGCTCTTGTGCTCGAAGGTGTTCCTGTTTGCCAAGATGCTTCAGTGTTCAAAATTCTTCCTGTGCTCAGGTGTGCTCTTGTGCCGAAAGGTACTCCTTTGCTGCTGTATTTTTTCGTTTTCATGCTCCTCGTGCCCTTCCCCATTGTATCTTCTCATCCCTCCTTCCTTATCTGCACTCGTCACGCCTGTTGTGCTCTGATCTCTGTGTTTCAGATTCTGAATGCTTTGCTTTGGGATGCTCGCCGGGTGGGACTTGTGCGAAGGATCAATCGGGACAGCTCTATTGTAAATGGGGTGAGCAGCACTGGATGTCTATATTGTGATGGGGTGAGCAGCTCTAGATGACTATATTGTCAATCGGGATGAGCAGCACTGGATGCCTATATTGTGAATGGGGTGAGCAGCACTAGATGATATGTCAATTGGGGTGAGCAGCACTGGATGAGGCATGTTCCAGCATGGTGTGACGCACATGCGCCTGTCACGGCATGGCTTGATTTCATGCTGATTTACCACAGCATTGTTACGTACTGCCTGCCTTTGCTTTCAAATCAAAGGCGCTTCCTATTCATGCCCACCTTTATTGAAACTGCCTTGCCGCACCCCCACTCGCCGTGTGGCAGCTGCCCCTCTGGAGCCACATGCAAGACCACACTTGCTCCTGACAAAACAAACATTGTTCCCAGCCTTACCCTGTGTGACCTTGCACTGCCCTGCTGCACCCTCTCTTGCCTCTACTACCTCTCTCAGACTCGCCGTGTGGCAGCTGCCCCTCTGGAGCCACTTGCAATACCTCTCCCACACTTGTCGTGGACAGCTACGGCAAGATGGTCCGTATTCCGTACTGTGTGTGTCCTGCCGGCTACGGAATGACCCCAGACACTTGCATCAAAGGTAAGATACCACTTACCTGCGCACGGTGTGTGATTGCATGTGGCTTGTTGCTTGGCATGTGGCTTGTTGCTTGGCATGTGGCTTGTTGCTTGGCATGTGGCTTGTTGCTTGGCATGTGGCTTGTTGCTTGGCATGTGGCTTGTTGCTTGGCATGTGGCTTGTTGCTTGGCATGTGGCTTGTTGCTTGTCATGTGGTTTGTTGCTTGTCATGTATTCTGTCGCCTATTGGATGACCCAAGCATGCGCCTCACTTGTGGGCTTGCATGGGGCAGCGTGAGCGCACTGCCAGATGTGCGATCGTGGTGACAGCAAGACACCATCCGCATGTCACTGCCTCACATTCCTGCCAGAGGCCCGGCATTCAGGCGCGGTGCATTCACAACCATTTTTGCCCCACTTGCCGCTCCGTTTGCCGTTTACACCACACATTATCCAGGGGGCAATTCTACGGTGGGATCAGCTAGTATAACGTTCGACAACAACATAGTGAGAGACGGGGGATCTCGCCCGTACACTGTGCGTGCCAACCTCAACGGGTGCACACAGGTTCCCAAGGAGAGGATTGGCAACTACACGAGACGATCCTATGTGTACAACATACCTGACGGCACACCGATCTTCAGCAAGAACAAATTCTGGAGCGGCGACAATTGTACAGGGGAACTTCTATATTCAGGGAATTTTCCAACTTCTCCTTACTACACAGCTGCCATATTGTGAGTGACTTCAAATGGTCAGTAACAACAACAATGCCCAGATATCCAATTCACACTTGCTCCAGCTGCTTTCCTCCTTAATACTGCTTACATTGTGTGCACCCACACCCACTGCCTTACACTTGTTTCCCTCCCCATGTCACTCGTTCTTTTCCTCCTCCTCCCCACTCCCCTCTTTCCCCTTCTGAATCAAAATTCTCAGGACCAGTAAGAATTTGTACTGGGATCTCAGGATGAGGTCCATGTGGTACGGGAACTAGGTGCAGTGTCGTAGCTGCAGTGTCTTGTTGTAGCACAACAGGGGGGGTTGGGGTAGAAAGTGGAAAAACTGCTTTGGGAAGGTTATTGGTTTGAAACGGGTAATTTTTTACTAGATTACCATGATCCCCTGGATAATTTTAGGGCGCGTGTGATCTATTTTCAAGTTCGGAAAAAAGGTCGAACTTTGTGTGGTTACCAGCTTCGCTAATGTCGTTAGGAAGCTTTGGCGAAGGCATGAGAACTTTTGGGGCACATAAGTTCGAATGTCAAATGTGAACTCAACTCGAATCACACGAGTGAACGTGCGGGTGCACATGAGGCGAGTGTGTGTTGTTTTCAGCACGTACGAAGGCCATCCGAAAATCGCGACCGCTTTGCGAAGGTCGTTGAGTTTCGTTGCGCATTACGTTAACGTGTCGCGCTGTACCAGGTAATCCTACTCCCCTACGGGCGGCTCGCCGCCATCCCTAAAAGGTCGAATCTCTGTGTTCGACCTTGGGTGTGTGATTGTGACTCGTCTGTGTTGGAGACCCAAGATTCGAACTTCGCTGGAAAGAAAGACGAGTTTTGTTCAAATGCTACATTCGACCTAAAAACATAAACTTTCACAAATTTGTAAGACCACACGCGCCCTTATTTTACTCTTTTTGAATGGCTTGCTACTTCAAACGCATGTACGTCTCAAGAGTGATGCATAGCGGAATGGTCATGACTAGCAAGTGTTAGAATGTAGACGCAAGGATGACTGCATTGAATGAAATGTGGGTACAAATACTAACCCTAAGTTTGGATTGTACCCTATATGGGCTACCTCACTATAGCCTACACAAAACTAACACATATATAGTTTGACACACCCCCGATAGGCAAAGTGGGGAAGAACAAGGGGTCACAAGACCAGTCAAGAAATGCAAAGTAAGCCCAGGGTGGATCACAACGTCACCACACACTCCGAGCACAAGCAAAGGGCCACAAGGCCAGTTCACATGCAGAGGTATATATGCAACAACAAAGAGTACAGTGATCTGTCAGAACATTATAGCTTATGGCTTTGTGTAGGCTGTAGTGGGGTATCCCATAGGGGGTACAACCCAATTAGGGTTAGTACTTGTACCCACTTCATTCATAGTTCATTCATTCTCGTTCTCATTTCCTCATGGTCTCGAGCAGGTTCCCTCGTGGGAACTGTTCCTAGGGCCCACCAATTCTTTTTTTTTTTCCTGCCCGGGGCGCGTCCTGCCCCTGCCCGAAGCGCGCCTAGGGTCGCGCCCTCCTTAGCGGCCCCGTCGCGTCACCCTTAGCGGCCCGTCGCGTCGCCCTTAGCTGGCCCGTCGCGCCGCCCTTACGGTCGCGTCGCGCCGCCCTAACGGCCGCGTCGCGCCGCCCTAGCGGCCTCTCGCGGCCCCGATCAGCCGCCCTTGCGGCCCCGATCCGCCGCCCTTTCACCAGCGGCCCTGTCGCCGCCCTTGCAGCGGCCCGTTGCCGCCCTTGCAACGGCCCGTCGCCGCCCTTCTCACGGCCCCGCCGTCCCTTTAAACGGCCCCGCCGCCCTCACCTGCGGCCCGCTGCCCTTCCTGCGGCCCGTCGCCCTTACCTGCGGCCCCTGCCGCCCTTACCTGCGGCCCCACCGCCCTCAACTGCGGCCCCGCCGCCCTTACCTGCGGCCCCGCCGCCCTCAACTGTGGCCCCGCCGCTCTCACCTGCGGCCCCGCCGCTCTCACCTGCGGCCCCGCCGCTCTCACCTGCGGCCCCGCCGCTCTCACCTGCGGCCCCGCCGCTCT